GGGGCTGGTTATCAGTAGAGTTAAATGACATGAATCTCTTTAATAAAAATCACATTCAAATTCCCTCTAAGAAATGATTCACGAGATCAAAATTTCTCCATCAGCTTGAACGGCATCCTTGTGTGTAGACAGGTATGGGAGTCTGTGTTGCTGGCAGTCACAAAAACCCTGTCACCTTTCTTGACTGATACCCGTGTCTGAGGTGAACATTGACATTCCCACTCTGAGGCAGTAACCTGGTGGGGACTGTGGAAGAAAATACAAACAAACAAACAAACAAAGCTCCATGGTGAGTGTATTTGATGATGTAACTCCAAACCAGGTTGGGTTTCCTTCTGGGAGACAAAGGAAGGATTCAATTTCCATCAAGGGAGAATGTCCCCCACCCTTGAAATATCTTCCTAGAGTCACCACTGAGCTGGAGAATAGGCCTGACAGTTATAGCCACGGAAAAGAGGGCCTCCTGTCTCCTGCCATCCATCAGGAAGGATCTAAATCCTCACCACCCGAAGATGGTCCACCGACCAGCAGAATCAGCAATAGCTGGGAATTTGTCACAAATGCAGCCTATCAGGCCCGACTTCTCCTGCTAACCCCTAGGTGACTTCCGGGTGCTTCCTACTCTTGATATTTAAGAAGCATTTCTTCTAACTCTCTATTCTAACCGGGGTGCGGATTATTTTCTCGAAAATATTCGTGATGCTTCCACGGAAATACAGCCTATCCCACAGGCGGCCATTTATGCTAACCTTAACCAGAAGCGCCAAGAGAGGCACTCCTAAAGATAGTGTTTATTGGCCATTTAATCCTTTGAAGTTCTCAAGCAGCGTGCAGGGTATGAAGACCTTCTTAGGTGTTTCCTTCTAAATTAGCCGATGCTGCTTGTGTTCACCTGGTCTAATCGTTCTGAGTGAACAAAAACCTGATTTTACAAACCAGTGGAGCAGAGTCTCTCTTTGGCTAGAAGAATGAGGCTCAGATAGTGTGTTTTATTTCTTCATTAGCGTGCCGTCACAGTGAGCGATCACTAAATGCAGGGCTGCATGAGAATGCTGGAGTTAAAGATAGCATAATGAACAAAGAAGGTGCCTGATTATCATGGCTGTCAGCACAAGGGAATTGGCTTTGTCACCTGGCTTAACCAACTGGTAAGAACTGATTAAAGGCTGGAGTCGGTTTGAAAGGATCCCTGATGTTTATGTTCCTTTCTCTCCCCCACATCTTGTCAAAAGAATCCGATAAAGCTGGGGCGGGGGGGGGGGGGCGAGGCAAGGGGGAAGGGCTTCATTCTTCGGGTTATTTGAACAGGAGGCTCTTGGAGAAACTCCCACTGTCTTCTCTATTGAAATGCCTACTAAGTGCCGTCCAGGACTTTCTGCGATGGCAAAAATACTCCACAGAGGAGCTGTCCAGTATGGTCACCACTGGCCCCATGCGGCTAGGGAGCCCTTGAAATATGGCACAGCATAAATTGGAAACTGAATTTTAAATTTAAAGAGTCATATGTGCCTAGTGGCTACAGTATGGGACAGTGCAGGAAGGGAAAAACCTAAAGTGAGCTGTAAAGTAGAAGAGACTATAATTCTGCTGCTTAATTTACTAGTAAACCTATTAGCAAAATATGGTCACCCCCTCCCCCAATTATCCTTGTCTCCAAGGAGGTCTTAAGAGTCTTATGTAGTTAATGTTTATTAAATTAAAAAAAAAAAAAAACGCTTAAAAATAAACTCTGTAGAGAAGTGGGCTCAACTTTGTGTTTACAATGCAATTACGGGGGCAGCTTTTGAAAATGCTGATGCCTGAATCTTATCCCCAGAGATTCTGGAGTCTAGTGCAGCCACTGGGCAATTCAACTGCACGGTCAAGTGAGAAAAGCACCATAGAGAGGCAGTCAGACGCGCTGGCAGTGTGGTGTGGACGTGGTTTGGGGGAGGAAGTGACCAGCTGGGGACACGAGAAGGGACCAAACATTTGTTAGATCCCTACCATGTGCCAGACCTTTACAAATATTTTCTTGTTTAATTCTCAAAACAACCCGACAGGCAGATCATGAGAATCCCAGTTGACCGATGGGTAAGCGGCGTCGAGGGGTTGAACAACCTCAGAACTTTGTGGTGTTAACAGCACCGTGCTTCCTCCTAGCTCGAGTCAGAGGGACGCAATAAACTTAGAATAACACAAAGAGCTTGAGTCAGTCAAGTGTAGGCGGAGTACTAAGAGGATGGACCGGAGGGAAAAAGATCACATGTTGCGTCGGTATTTTCATGGGTCTTTTATCAGAGACACAAAAAGCTGCCAGTTTTCCTTCCTTCACGTTATTGAAAGCAATCGCCGACAAATGCAAAAGTTACTTTAGCTCTGAACCTTTTTGATGCCCCCCCAATTGCTAAAACCCATATTTTCTTTTGCTCATTTGGATCCTCAAGATACAGCCAACAATTTATGCCTACGCAAACATAAAATTCCAAGGGCTCGGCTACCACACTGACACACGCGGCAAAGCATTCCAGTAACTCAAGCAGGTGGTGACCTCTGGGGTCTCCCTAAACTGCTCCCACGTAGCAAGGTGCAGTAGTTACGTGATGGGCCCATGGTCCTAGAATGCTGGTGACAGATCGGAATCATGAGACTGAAAATGCCTGGAGGCAAGAGCCAGACCATCTTGCCATCAAAGATGAATTTTATGAGGTTCTTAACACAGTCGGGCTGCAGTCTGGGGAAGGTTCTATCTGTATGGAAAGACAGACTGCCTGATGCAAGGTGAAGGCAGCCATCACACGGTCTGGCCCCAATACTGCCCTTTGAGTGTTCTGGTGCCCTAAAATCCCACACCCAGGGAACTGTTGGCAGCCGGTGTGGTCAGAGGAGGAGAGTTTACCTGATCCCACAGAGTGGAACACGGGATGAGGATACTCAGGTTGGAAAAGAAAAAGCCTGGGACTTGAGCTTGTCAAACATCATGGCCATCTAGAGAAAGTACTTAGTCTAGGGAAGGAACACAAAAAGAAAACGAGGAAGTCTTTGCCCATTTACGCTTACACCCAAGGCTGGCCCTCGTATTCTCCTTCCCTCAGGAGGGAGTTTGAGTTCGACCCGGGGGGGGGAGTGGGCAAGAGAGCCTGCCTGTGATAAGAAAAATGTCAGTCTTCTGGTTGTGCAGTTCTATCCCCAAGCTGGGGTGGGGTCCTGGGCTCCTTCTTAACATCTCTGAGCTGGCAATTACGTCGAGTATAAACGGAAAATAATGCCTATTTTATAGATTTGGTTTACTATGAGCCCTGTGATGAGGTGTATTGAAAGTGTCTGATACATTACCTGGGTATCATAAAATGATTCTTCTTGTTTTTTTTTTTTTTTTTTGTTTTGTTTTGTTTTTTAAGTTTATTTATTTACTTTGAGAGAGAGAAGAGAGGGCAAGCTGGGGAGGGGCAGAGAGAGAGGGAAAGAGAGACAGAATCCCAAGGAGGCTCCACACTGCCAGCGCAGAGCTCAGTGCAGGGCTTGAACTCACAGAACCAGAAGATCATAACCAGAGCTGAAATCCAGAGTCAGATGCTTAACTGACTGAACCACCCAGGCACCCCGTTCTTCTTGTTCTTCTTTTTTTTTTTTTTTGAGAGAGAGAGAGAGAGGAAGCTCACGTGTGTGAGCAGGGGAGGGGCAGAGGGAGAAGGAGAGATAGAATCTCAAGCAGGCTCCACGTTCAGCCCAGAGCCCGACACTGGATCATGACCTAAGCCGAAAGCAAGTCAGACGTTCAACTGACTGAGCCACTCAGGCGCCTCTGTGAAATGGTTCTTACTGCTGTTTATAAAAGAAACTCTGGAGGGTCCGGTAATCTCAGTCCAAATTTAGGATGGATCTGGAATCTCTTCCCACTCCTTTTAAGGCTGATACTTGCCTTAACCAGACAATGGCCTCACAGCCAGAAAATACTTCTATCTGGAGGGATGTTGGCTCCAGGCCAGCCAAGATGGAATTTGTAATAGGGAACAAAACAGTTAACAGCCATAAACACAGTAAAAGCTAAAATATACTGAGTAGCGTCACTTTTTGCATTTCTATGCTAACAGGGCCCACAGGACGGTGCTAAATACCAACAACGATGACGGAGGTACTATTTTTAACTCCATTCTACAGATGAGGAACCGGAGACGAAACTTAGGAGACTAAACTGCCAACCTGCTCTTAACTGTGGGGAGGGAGGGATGTTGGAAACAAAGACAGAACATGTGCGAACCCTGCGTGCCTGGCTCTGTCCCTCGACACACTGACTCACGCGGTGGAAGCACCATGAGTGGAACGCCTGGGCCCCCCCGCTGCCTATTCTGGTCAAGGTCACAGCCACGGCAGGGTCTGCGAAGCCCACAGTGCTGGTGGAAGCAATGGCAACACTAGCAGCTCGGTCCACAGAAAGTGGGAGAACAGACTTCCCTGCTCCTCTGCATACCAAGGGGCCAACCCCATCCATTCATTAGCCCGGCATGTATTGAGTGCCTATCATTAAACAGGCGTTTATTAGGACCCGGGCCTAAATGTTATGAACACAAAACTATGAGGAAAGAGGGAAGAAGGGTAATGACAACGCAAGCCATGACCTCAGTGCCCAAACTGAAACCACAGCCCACACGTGATCCCGTCCCCGGAACCCTGCCCGGGACCTGTCTCCCCCGCAGCTGTCAGGCTTCCCCAAGACTCCCGAAGGAGACGGTAGAGCCATGTATAAATTCCAATCTCAGCTCTAATTGCACTGCCGGACAACCCCTGAGAGCTCCATCACTGCTCCAGAAAGTGGCCTGTGGTCAGCTGTGCGTTTTGAAGGCGACCCGGACAGCGAGACAGATCCTTCCTTTTCATAAGCATTCCTCCTGCTTTGAGTAACAAAAGATTTCACAGTCGATCTAACTTGCCCCCTGCCTGGTCATCTTGGGAGAAGACCCAGCCAGGCGGGAACGGCAGCCGTTGGCATGGAAGAAACAAGACAGAAGCACACAACTTACGGGTGCAGGGCATAGAGGCCGCGTCGTTGTCGGCTCTGAAAAAGCCTCGGTCACAGGTGCACGATGTGGCTCCTTCCCAGACAGAGTAGCTGTGGGGCGGGCACTTGGCACAGGTGGCATCCGTGGAGAGGGCCTTGTAATAGCCAATTTTGCAGGCTACGGGAAAGAAGGAAACACACACCAACATAAGCCACCACTAACAGACCAGAGCAAAACGTCACCTCCTTGACCCAGCAGAAGGGGGACGTTTCTGTGAATCGCTAGTGATCACCTGGCTTGAGACGCAGGTAAAGCAACGAAAAACATTAATCGGTTACAGTCATTCTTCAAAGGTCATTACATTCCCGGTCAGGTGGCAAGGAGCCTGACGGGAGACATTTTCTTAAAACCAGCGGAATCGGTCAAATTGCAGCTATGTTTCCCGAGGGCTTCTTGCATGTAGGTACGCTGCTTACATGCAGGATGGTGTCCAGTCCCGATGAACAGCTTGCGCGCAAGTACTGTTACCAGCCCTCCCTTGGAAATTTGGGATGCTGGCTTTGAAAAGTCCATTCTTGGTGGCAGACCACGCGACAGGTAAAGGTCAGGGACCAGCTTGGACGCCAAGTGTTCTCTCCCCCAAACCTACGCTCTTGGCTACATGCTACGGAATCTGAGAGCGTGGTCTTGAACCAACAGTCGGAAGCGTATCCAAACGCTCACAGAAAAATTATCGGTGATTATTTCCTAATTACCGGTACAGAGGGAACCAAAGCAAAAGGCCAACAAAGGCAACGAGGCATGAAAGAAAAGAGTTGGTAAGACACGGGTCACGGTTTCAAGGGAAAGTAATATAAAGTACCGACCGTAGATTCTGGACTATAACATACTAAGATTTTTTTTTTTTTTTTTTTAAGATCAGCCGATATTTTATGTTCATTTTCAGATTAATAAAACCCTCTTGTTTTCTCCTCTCTCTATTTTTTCAACACCCCCCTGCCTCCCTATGCTCACACACCCTAAGTGGCTGCTGCAGAGAACATGGGCCATATAGTTCTTTATGCACCTGACATGCTTTCCATGACTTCATCTTCGCAAACATCACGCTGACACCAATGGCAGCTTTTCCTAATGTGGAAAATCTCAATAATTCTGGGAAACCTCACAATAAAAAATAATTAATAGGGCCTTGCTCCCCCCGCCCCCCGTTTCTCCCCTCTGCCCTTCACCATCACCTCCCAAATCTGTCTCCACTTGAAATAAAAATTGACCAACACCATCAGTAGTAAACCCACAGCGACAAGGCCATGAAAAATAAAGTTGTTTCGGGCAACCAGAGGTTTAAAAAAAAAAAGGTGACAGATACCCACCACCTTTCCAGTACGATTCACTTTCAGTGTTGTCCATTTATCTCGTCCTTAAGATGTTCCTAACTATCAAAAATACCAGCTGGGAGAAGAACCCGTTAGGCATTTGCCATCAGCTTGACCACGAAAGGAGACCGACCACGCCAGAAACCCAGCGGGTTTCACTCGAATAAGGAGACAAAAAAAGAGATCCGCAAAACTGCGTGATTCTCTGAGGCGATATGGCCACGTTCCCTTGTCTCATTACTCATCCCTCAAGCATCTGTACGGCTCCCAGTTGGAGTCTATTCCTCCCCTTTGAACAGCCTGTTGGTATTTTCTTAATCATGCTCTGGTAATGGCAAGCGGAAAGGGAGTTTAGCAGAAGCTCCAGAAAGGCACACGGTTATTTCACTATTATTAACTAAAGTTGTTTATGGAATTTCCTTTAACGAGCCAAAACTTTATGATGTGTGGAGCACCGACAATAAAAGTGCTAGGAGATCAATCTCTCCCTTATTTGCTTTCGTCTTTCACTGGACCGGAGAATCTTAGAAAAACAGGTTGCTCCAATGACTGAGATTTATGTGTCTCAAGTTTATACCCATCACATAATTAGGGATGGTTCAATATGCAAGGTGCTTTTTGGTCATGCTTAAGATGGCCCTAGGGTTTCGACTAAAATCGGAAACACCAGCTTGGGGAGAAAGATGCACTGAGGGTCAAGCTTGTCCTTCCCACATCAAACACAGCGAGTCCCTGAACTCAGAAACAAATCCACTGGGTCCTGGGGGGTTACTGAGTCACAGCCAACAAAGGCAAGTTGTGGAAACGTGCTGCAGGTTTGGTAGAGCTAGGACTGAGGGGAAGGCATAAATTGCTTTATTTTTTTCCGCATCTGGATAGTGGATTGAAATCCTCCATGTTCCTGGCGCACCTGGGTGGCTCAGTCAGTTAAGGGTGGGACTTGGGCTCGGGTCATGATCTCGTGGTTTCGTGAGTTCGGGCCCTGCATCAGGTTCTGTGCTGACAGCCTCAGAGCCTGGAGCCTGTTTCTGATTCTCTGTCTCCCACTCTCTCTGCCCCTCCCCTGGTTGTTTTCTCTCTGTCTCTGTCTCTGTCTCTGTCTCTCTCTCTCTCTCTTTCTCCCTCTCTCTCTCTCCAAAACTAAATAAACATTAAAAAAAATTTTTTTTTTAATTCTCCATGTTCTTGATGATCCTTATGCACCTCCATTTCACCAGGCAGCAAAACCTAAAAACTCACAATGGAAGTGGAAGAGTGACAAGAAAAATTGTCCTATGATTTATTCACCGCAACACGAAAACAGAGCACGTCGAGAAAGGTGTAAGGAAGAGAAAAACAGACTATTGCTATTTCGTCAACTTCTATTCTGATCAGACTACTTCCAGTTAAAAAATCAAATTCAGAGTTCACAGAAGTCAAATGAGAGGATGTCTTGAATTTCCTAAAGTTCAAAAACTAATTGTATATTTATGTTAATTTCAGGGAAAAATGAGATCGCAAGTTTATAGTTTGTCTACGTTTCCTTGAAGCTGGTAGGAATGTGTTAGCAAGAGTTAGGTGTATGTGAATTCATTTGTGGAATACGGAGTTTTATACTCATTTGGAAAATTGAAGGCTATTGTTTTTTAAACGCACTGACTATTTTTACTCTCTTTTCCTCTTGCTTTTACAAGCGCAAGGAAAAATACCACATTGTCATTGTGCTATTCTCGGCCACCCCTGCCGCCCTTAACACATTCCTTTGTCTTCAACTACATTAAGACCATGTTATTAATATTTCAGCGTTCTTAGAAAGGCTCTCTCAAAATACAGGAGTGGTTTTTCATGCACGCGGCCATTGTGCTGCCTACGTTCAAAATGACCTAGTAAATTGATGGTTAGGTACGTTTCCTTGCTCTTGTGGTTCACAGTCGTCTAGCATTTGGTGCATGAATGTGGAAGTAGATCCCGTATTTATTCACGACCTATTTGCATTTTAAAAATGTCACTACATCTTTCATTCCAAACAAAATCCCCACGAAAGGTGTATGTGGTCTAACAAGCATTGACATGTGTTGTGATTTTCCTTCATTCTCCCAGAGGTGAGAACTATTCCACTGTATTTTTTTTTTTATGGCCGGGGCTTGGGAAGCAAGTTAGGAGTGAGTCAAATTGTACACTCTACACCCAAGAGCGTGTGTAATTCCTTCTGCCCCCTCGCTGGAGTACAATGGGAAGGAGCGCCTTATTTGGCCTTTCAGATATGTCATTGTGGGAGGATGAGTTCACGTGTGCAGTGAAAACTCTGAATTCACTTCCTTTAGTTTTGCGGTAATGAGCTCTTTCTGCTGACTCTAAACAAAAGGAGAAGACAAGTGAGGACAAGAAGAGAAAGCAAAACTCTTTTCTTTCATTGGCTCACCCAGTGCCATAACGGGTTGCATTTTAAGGATAGTCTTCTACAGAAGTTTCCCTGTGGAATACTTACACATCGTAATTTCCGGTGAAACACAAACCCAAAATGTTCTTAAGATGATGTAGTACCTTCAGGATTTCTCGGTGCACAGATGATTGACACGAGGTGCAATGCCAAATTCAAGGATCTAGTTAAACCCACTCTTTAAAAACATTGTATATAGATGGTGTGGTCGGTTTCCCCCCTTCTTAGAGAAATAAAGACTGTCTTTACAGTTCATTTTGAAACCATGCTGGTTGCAAGAATATCTAACAATAACAGCACCTGTGATGATAGATCAAGCACTTAAGGTGTTCATAGGCATCGTTTCATTTCATCTTCACAAAGATCCCTTGAGCTTGAGACTTTATCACTATTCGCGTTTTGCAAGTGAAGAAACTGAGGGTTGCAAGTAACTTGCCTGAGGTCACACAATTAAGTGGAAGTCAGTATCTAACCCCGGCTCAGGTGCTGATGAAAGTTTTTATGCAGTTACACAGGGTGAACACTGACCGTCAGCAAAAATCCGACACAGATGGAACAGAGTACGAAAGAACTGAGGTTGGTCCCAGCTTCCACTTGTGCCCCCAGACCATCCTGGGGTTGTTTTCACAACCAGTGCTATGCTCTGCAACCTGCGAAGCAGTTTCTAAAGGCTCTCAGAGCTGCACTGGCCGGTACGATGGCTTTAGGCCACAGGCAGCTACTGATCTGGTCCAAATCAGGCTATAAGCGTGAAATACAAGCTGGACTCCAAAGGCTTAGGGCCGCAAAAGCAAAGTCTCTTATTAATAGTTTTTATATTGATTACATATTGAGGCAATAATGCAGGGGGGTATAGCAAGTCAGAAAAATGTACCATTAAAATTAATTTCGCATGGTAGATCTCACCTTTTTTTTTTTTCATGTGGCTACTAAACTTGAAATTATCTAAGAGGCTTGCAATCTGTGTCTGTTGGACAGTGCTACTCTCAAAGTCCCTCATAGTAAGGCGCCTGTGGCTGCACGCATGTGCCCAGGGACTCTCCTAAAGTCGGAGTGCAGAAAGTGCTGGGGCACGCGTCACAGTCACCCCAGCACCTTTATAAGGTGTAGCCTAAGCCCACCTCAGAGAATCAGAGAATCGGGTCAGTTTCTATTTAAGCGCTGCTCTCAGGCACCTAGCTAATTTGAAAAACCTAATTTTGGCCCAAGTACTCATAAATAGGCACAAAAGGGTTAAAAATTACCTTCCTAGGTAACAAATTTGCATTTTAATACAGTGTCCTGAAGGTCAAGGCTGAAATTTTAGCAGTGGCTCTCTGGGGGAAATTTGAACCTTGGTTTTTTGTTTTGTTTTGTCTTGTTTTAAGTTTATTCATTTTTGGGAG